CGGGAGGGCGCGGGGGGCCTGGCGGAGGCTTCATCCCGGGTGCTCGCTACGCGCAGTGCCACCAGCAGCGCCAGCGTCCTTCAGGCTCTGGCTGGAAACACAGAACCCCAATCCCCCCCGCACCTCCCGAGCCAGCGCCTGTTTCACAGGGGATGCGTTAGCACGTTACCATCTAGCAGGCAGTGGCCCCAGAGGCTGTCACCTGGCCGTAGCGGTGATCCCCGGCAGGGGGGCCCGCCACAGACACAGGAGTCGCATCTCTCGAGGGGGCCCCAGCACGGGAGGCTCTAAGTGCAGCCCGACGCTGGGACCCCCCAGAGCAGCCAGCCTCCTCCCACACCTCTGCTAACACCTGCGATAGACACGAGCTTATAGAACGCTTTCTGTCCCCAGCACCGTGCCAACACTTCACGCTTAGTACCCCCTCGTAACCCCTACGATGTCGTAAGCACGGCCTGGATCTGCATCTTGCCCACCAGGCTCCAGCGTCCGAGTTGAAGCAACGCGTCCAGCCCCAGACAGCTGGTAAGCGGCAGAGGGCGGATGCAGACCCAGCTGCCTGATTCACATGCTCTGCATTATAATGTAGTCACTTGTTTGCTTGTACTTGTCACTAAAAGGTGACCCTTTGAGATTGAGAATTATGTTATTTTCATCTCTGGTTCAACACAGGTGCTCAATAAGTACTGAAGAATATTAAACGCATCATCAGCTTCACTTACTGCCGACGCACGGTCAAAGGTCCATGGGTGAAAACGAGTGAGACAGCCCAGAAAGCCGGAGCGGGGGACACGGTCGGCTCTTCCCTCCCTCGGGTCGGTGGCTGGAGCTCAGGTGATGCCAACAAGGTTTTGTCTGGAAGTCTGGGGTCAATTCCCCATCGTGCAGACTTTGCACCATATCTAAAGGGCAGGGATCTGTGCGGCTCACGCCCACGCTCCCCAGGTGTCAGGTGAGCACATGAATACCTGTGGTCCCCGTCCCGGCCAGAGCACAGAGCACGAGAGAGGGCTGACTAAGTGAACCCTCAAGTCCCCTCCAGCGCAGTCACAACGTCCACTTCCACTGCAGTCCCGGGCCCCGCGCAATTGGCAGACATCGCCCGGCTTCCGGAAGGCCTGGCCAAAGCTGTGCTTTTGGTCCCTTCACACCAAACCTCAACCCGGACTGTCTGCTCTCCCTCCCTTCCCACCAAAGTGCTCCCTCTGCTTTGACATGCACCTCACACACCCAGGGCCCCACAGAAACCCGAGAGAGATCAGTGAGTTACTCTGATGTTTATTTTAATGCATCTTAGTCCACACAGTTGGTATAAAATCAGAAAAAGCGAAGCAAAAAAAAGGTCTGGAGTCTTAGCATCAGAAGGGCACCATATATACATCTACAGTGGTGGCCAATACAAGTCATTGCCAGACAGTCCTTGGAGACCGAGAACAGCCTAGACCCGGCTGAGCCTGGAAACTCGTGGCCTCGGGGGTCTAGGGACTTGTCCTGACGCTCCGACCGCAAGAAGACTGTGGGAGTGATGAAGCTGTGTTTATTATTCATTCGTTATGGTAGTAATAGCAGCCCAACTAGGTACAAAAGCAGTTATAAACCATTTATATTACACAGAATTATTCAGGTCTCCATTCTACTTTACGGTGTAAGATTGTTAATTGAATTTCCAGTGAGTAGTTTAGAAGATTAGTGATAATAAGGAATGGTAAATACATAGCACCATTTCATAGTTTTTTTTGTCACTGATTTCTCATCTAGAGGTGTGGCCAGGACACCCACCCTCAAGGGCGAGTATTCCAAAGCCACAGCCGTGATTTTGCCGAGGGCTCCAGTTTGAGGGTTTCACCCATGCGCGCATGGGGCATGTGGGCAGAGCCGGCCTCTGCGAGAACCGGGCCACCACACGGAGAGGGCTTTGGGCCATTCAGGCTTTCTACCCACACTTTGGTTTTCTAAATGAGGTGGAGTGGGAGGGAGGTATCTTCTTTCAGATGAAAGGGAAGGGGAGAGATGGAATCATTTTATTTCTGGGTAAAACCAAAAAAACAAAAAACAGAACAAAAATATTGAGCTTGATAATACGGTTAGGATGTGAAGTTCCTTAGCTACTTCTTTAAGGTTTCAACACAAGGCTGATGGTCAACATATAAAGCAAACAATACTATGTACATATATGTAAAAAGTGTTATAAATAGGTTTTATAAACCGTAGATATTATATACATCTTCAATCAACACTAACCCCGCCCCCCAACTGCTTTCTGTTTGGTTTGGTTTGATTTGAGTTTGGGTCTTTTGGCTAACTTTTTGTGTTTGTTTGTTTCTCTTTTCAGGTTTCCCTCCTCCCTCCCCTGTGCATGCTCAGGGCCTCAGACGAACTGTCCGGGCCCCTCATTCGCGCTTCCGCAAGATCACGTAGATGACACCGCTGAGCAGAGCCAGGGGGAAGGCGACCCAGGCCAGGATGTAGGCGAATCCATAGGTGTAATCAGAGCTGTAGTGCCATTCGGTGTGTCTCACCGTGTAGATGGACGCTGCGCTCATCACACACAGACCTGGGGGGAGAGGGACAATCTGGGTGAGGGAGAGATCACAGGGGGACCATTCTCCATCCCCCAGTGCAGGGCCCACAGGGCCGGGCACCTGCCCACACCACTCGCTGCCCTGACCACGCACACACCAGGCCCCCGCGTGGGCTGCAGGAGGCAGACCCTGCTGTGCAAGGACAGCATGAAGAGCTCTGGAAGGAATCCGCTGCCAGATCCAGAAGTGGCAGGAGGAGGCCCGAAGACGCAGGAACACGGGAAGCGACCGGGACTCTGCTCCCAATCTGTGTGACCCAGGCCACCCATCATCTTTGTCATCTTTTCTGCCCCATTTCCCTTGCTGCCTTCTTAACTCACCAATTCCCAGATGACACAAGGTGGCCACGAGAATTCAGGTTGCAAGATAAACCTGCCTGTCTCATTCTTTCTTTTTTTTTTGTTAATCTTCACCCAAGGATATTTTTTCCATTGATTTTTTTAGAGTGGAAAGGAGGAAGGAAGAGAGGGAGAGAGAAACATCGACGTGAGAGGGACACATTGACTGGTTGCCTCCCGCACATGCCCCAGGGCTGGGGAGAGAGCCTGCAGCTGAGGAAGGTGCCCTAGACAGGGAGCCCCACCCTCTGGTGAGTGGGCTGATGCTCTAACCACTGAGCCACACCGGCCAGGGCTAACCTGCCCATTTCTTTACAAGGATGGTTGGGTGTGGGAGCTCCTGGAAACCTGTGAGCCAGTCTACAGGTGAGAGGGTTGTTACGTGGAGCGAATGAAGTGCAATGACACGTTACCATTATCTGAGTCGTGTCATGGCAACAGCGCTGGGCTCCAGGCAGGACACAGGGCCGACCTCCAGGCTGATCCCCTGAGCAGGGCTGCCACATGAGGGGTGAGGCGAGCAATGCCTGTGGCCTCAGCGAGGTGGCAGAGGCTGTGCGGAGGTGAAGAGGCGAGGGGGAGACAAGGAGGGAGGACAGAGAGACTACCAGGCCCAAGCTCACTGTGCCGGGCCTCTCTCAAGCGTTCCTGGTGCTTCCAAGGTTGGATTTGAAGGCAAAAGAGGGGTGACATGACATCGCACACAGGGAGGACAGGCCACCGTCCCTTGCCCACCACTGCAGCCCTTTGGTGTGAGGAGAAAAGCCTCCGTTGGTCGTCATGAACGTGACAGTCAGGATCCTCTGCAGGGAGGGGTCCGTGATGCCGCACCCAGCCTGCCGCTGCACAGAGCCTCTCTGTTTCCTCCTGAAAGCAGGGTCTCTGGAGGCTGTGAGACTCTATTATGATGGCAGCAGGCCGTGTGGGATGCCCGCGATGCCAGAGCTGCCGATGACCTGGGCCACCTACATCTAACCTCGGTGCTATTTGGCGGGACACTGCAACTTTGTTTGAATAAAGTGCAGAATAGGGCTATGTCATATTCACCACCCTGATCTGATTGTCCTTCTGCAAGTCAGAGCAGAAAACTCCCACGCAGCTGGTCCCCAGCAAGTAAGCCACACAATAAATAGTCTTAGAACTACAGTGGGATCGGATCCAGGACCCCGCTATCTACTGAAAGTCTGGGAGAGGGCGAAGACTTCTGTGTCAGAGGGAAAACTACAGCTGGGAAATTTCTGTTCGAGAAACACACCGTTTCCCCTGAGGTCCGTGATCCTCAGTGATCTTCCCCCACAGCTCCATGGCTCACCTCTCCATCGCAATAATTCTCATCTTTAAGAAGTTGTCTCTTGGGCTATATCTGAGCTACCTAATGGGGGCAGGGCTGTAGAAAGAAAAGCATGGCCAAAGGAGAGCGGAAGGTGTAAAGAGAATGTGAAAGGCCAGGACGGTGTTTACTGTGTTGGCAGTGCTTCCAAATGGGGGGTGGCTAACAGCACTGGCATGAAAATGCCACTGTAGCCATGGAGACCAGCTGTGCTCAGTCTTCACTGGCAAAGGAAATGCCAGAGAGAAAAAAGTCCATCAACGACCAACAGGGATAGAGAGAGGCAGAGTACACAAGTGCAAGGACTAACTAGATGGCTTAATTTTAGACATTTACCCTAGTGGAATCTCAGAAGTAAATGAATTTAAGTTTTGCTTTAAAAAGCAGTAAGCTTAGATACTTACAAAGCCAAAGAGAGGGTACACACTTTGTAACTGTTGTCAGGAGACTGCAGTTCTAGGGAGTACATTATCACAAGGCTGTCCATACGTAAAGCAATAGATGTGCCCTGGAATCTAGAGCAGTTAATGCCATAAATAGTCCCTAAAAGTCAAACATTGCTCCCCATAAGTGGACTGTGACTCACTTTCTCAGCAACCAGTACATGGAAATGAGTTTCTGAAGATTCCCCATGATGAAGGTAAGTGGAGGTCCCAGTCCCCATGATGAAGGCAAGTGAAGCTCCTGACACACTGGCAGGTGTTCTGCTTTCCCCAGGTGAGCAGTCTGTGCTTTGGCAGTGCCTAATGCCTTGAGAGGGGCCTGAGTCTGGGGGTGTAGGTCATCTTTAAGTGGAAGAGTGGAAGGACATAGACAACATAAAAGTTCTGGCCATTCAAGAGTTCATGAGAGTTTCCACCTGTCTCCAGATGGCTGGCTATGAAACAACTCCCAGAAATTTCTCCCTTTGCCCGGCCAGGCGTGGCTCAGCGGCTGAGCGTCGACCTGGGATCCAGGCAATCAGGGTTTGATTCCCAGTCAGGGCACATGCCCGGTTGCGGGCTCGATCAATGACTCTCTCATCATTGATGTTTCTCTCTCTCTCTCCCTCTCCTTTCCTCTCTCTGAAATCAATAAAGATATATTAAAAAAAAAATTTTTTTCTCCCTTTAAAGTCTTCTTGAAGAAGAGATCTCAAGCCCCCTTAGTGATGACAGCAACTGCAGGTGAGCAAGTAGAGCCCAGACCTTTTGGAAGGGAGCAACAAAGGGGATGAAGCCAAAGAAAGAAAGAAAGAAAGGGTGGGAATTCTCTGAACTTCCTTACCTCTATTCTGTTTGGCTCAATAAACATGTAACAAGTACCTGTTGTGTGCACTGTTCTAGATGCTGAGAGCACCCAGAGAAAGAGACCTGGCCCCTACCTTCAAGGGATGAGTGTCACCCCAAAGCAGACATGTCAGTAAAAACTTCCACTACTGTAGGATGTGGCTTCAAGGGAGGGTGAAAGGAATGCAGCGGACACCCTGGGAGCATGGATGGGCACTAAGCCCAAAGTGGGGGCTGGAGAGGCCTGACGGGGGGGCAGCACTCGACTTGGGACTAAGGATGTGTAAGAGGCAGCCAGGTGGAGAAAGGCGGGAAGGGAATCCAGGCAAAGGAAAAACATGGGCGAGGCAAGGGGAACTGAGAGAGCTGGGTGGAAGCCACCAGCAGGTCATGGTAAGTGTCCCATGATACAGATGAAGCTGGAGAGCTCACTCAGGCCAGGAAAGGGGGGGCTTACAGCATGTTGAGGGAGGCGTGGAGGGAAGCACTTCAGCAGAGCATACAGGATGGTCAGGACAGTTCCCGAGAGCAGTGTGGAAAACAGGTGTAGGGGTGGGGACGAGATGGGACAGAAAGGTGCACGCGGGGGCTTCTGCACAGCTGCAGTGCTGTTAGTGAGTAAAAGAAAAGACATGGACACCATATCTATGCAGAACGCTACCCACTGGCAGGACTCGGGGTGGGCTGGATATGGGAGGAGGGAGGGGACTCCGGCCTGACTGGTGGGTTAACTTAGGTAACTGGGAAAACAGTAAGGACCTGGAAGCCGCGGGAGTAAACAGTTTCAAGTGGTGACTAGAAAACAGTATTGAAAGGAGGGGAGGAATTCAGCAAATGACTGAAAAGCGGACCTCCGTAAGCTTTGCAAAAGCAGCTCGTTTGAGAGCCTGGAGCAGAAGCCAGAGTGAGGTTGGCTGGAAGCGAAAGCCAGGTGAGACCACGGGGCCGAGCTGTCGAGGAAGGTGCCCCGCTGGCACTGGTCCGGTGAGTGAGTCCCCCTGTGCCACCCTCCACATCCTCAGGGTGAGGGGCGGGGCAGGAAGGGGCCGGGAGGCCGGTCCCCTACACAAAGCCTCTGCGCCTGGCCCAGGCTCCAGCGCAGCACCCTCTGACCCCGCCGCCCAGAGCGCCCGGCAGGCTAGACAGCCGGGCACGGCCACGGCGACCTCAGGGCAGGTTCTCTCCTGGGGGCTCTACATGTGGCGTCCAGCCGGAGCTGCCTGCCATGCCCTCGGAACGGGGAAGGCACTGCGCTTTTACTCACCTCCCAAATTATTTTATCCTAAAGCCCTGTATCTACATCGATATCAACCTGATAAAAGAAACAAAACAAACAGAAAAAGTAAAACTCACTCAGGAGTCTCCTCCTCCACGTTTTTGTTCCTCTAATTACAATGAACAGTAGGCGTGTGGCCTGAGTTTGATTGTGCCAGCGGAACACAACTATGCAGTCACCCGGTGAGGAGGTCACCAGGGCCTCCTTTTATGTGGGGTGCACAGAGCTCGTGGCTGGGCGTAAGGAATGAGATAAATAAAATCATGCATAGCTCGCGTTCAGGTCTGTATCTGCATGAATTTCTGGATGTTTCCCCATCTAGTGCAACCCAATGCAGCAGAGCTAGGGTGAGGGGACCAGATGGCTACAGGCTCTGCAAATAAGAATGACACCGAACCCCAGACACAGGATGGGGTTGGCCCTTCTCTAAGAAGGGTTTAGAAGAATCAATGGCTCGTGAGTAGGAGGAACAGTCTGCGGGGAAATGTCCCAGAAGAACTGACAGTGGGATTTGGGCAGTTTAATGGCTACTCCAGGGGTTCCGACCCCACCCAGGGAGCGGCCCCACCCAAGAGCTCTTAAGTGAGACTCTCCAGGAATGAAGTCTGAGCACTGGCATTTATTAAAAAGCACCCCCTCTTTTAAAAGGTACTTCTGCTGTGCAGCTAAGATCGAAAAGCACTTAACTAGAGGAAGATGCCTCTTGATATGTGTTTAGGAAGCGGCCAACCTAAGAAGTATGTCATCAAGGAAAGATAGTTCTTAAGTGCGAGCCTTGTGGCTTATGAAATGGAGAAAGGATGTCGCAGCAAAGCAATAGGTCTGTGGACCTATTGCCACAGACAGAGCTGTAATCTAGAACAAGGCAGAGACAGCCCCCAATCTCAATCTCCAGTCAGCCCCAAGAGCCCCACACACCTTTCCCCTGCCTTTCCTGCACCCTTAGGTGCCAGATCTGTAAAGATCACAGCGAGGCCCCCCAAAGAGAAGCTACGCAGAGACAATCCAGCCTGCAAACGTCACGTGGGAGACTCGGTGGAGGATCTGGTGGCTTCCACTTAAAATGCTTTAGGCTCTGAGGANCCCATCACGTGGGAGACTCGGTGGAGGATCTGGTGGCTTCCACTTAAAATGCTTTAGGCTCTGAGGATGCATCTGCCCTGCGTGGATCCTACCGCTGTGGCAGGACCACTCAGAGTTACATTCCATGGTTGTGAGGCTGCTTTCTGCTCCCTTCCTCCCTCCCCATATCCTCCCTTCCCTCCTGCTTTTTGTCTGTTTTAGCTTTTCTGATTTATTCCTCAGTATTAAGCTGTAATTTCTCAGGCTATCAGCAGGTCTCAACTCCAACAACCTTCCCCTAATTTTCTCTCTAGTTACTGGTTTCTTAGTGGGTTGTGAATTGGGAAGCACACAGGAGAAAGTTGATCTAGAACTGTCAGACATTAAGAGTCAGGAAGCTTCTAAGTCAAATCCCTAACTCTTTTTGTTCTCTATTTTAATGGAAAGACCCTACAGCAAGTTCAAATGCAGCATCCCAGAGACCTGTGGTCCCTAGAAGACAAACTTTCAGGTCACGTTGACTGGAGTTAGCAATTAAGAACAGAACATTCTTCGGACTTACAAACGACAGCTGCTGTTCTGGCTCAACACTTCCAATTCAAGATAAAGTCTTGTTCGTATGTGGTCAGCTACACTGACAAACTCAACTGAACAGTGGGTCTTGTGAGAGATAAGCAGCTAGATTTGAAGGAGATAAAGGAAGGACAACTCAGGGCTTTTAAGCTCAGAGGTTTTTAGAGAGTTCAACAAGGCTCGTGTTGACTTCAGAGGAGAATGAAGACGGACAAAGTGAGTACGGACAAGAAATGAACCTTGGAAGATCAGAAAATCTCAACTCCTAAGAGCTTTTTGCTGAACAAAACACTTGAAGACGCANCGGAAGATCAGAAAAGCTCAACTCCTAAGAGCTTTTTGCTGAACAAAACACTTGAAGACGCAGCACAGGGACAGCGTCTGCCCTCAGTGGTTCTCATCTCTGGACTTGGGGTTTTTACTGAACCCGACCTTGTGAAAGAGGCACCGGTGCACAATTTTAAGCTNTTACCGAACCCGACCTTGTGAAAGAGGCACCGGTGCACAATTTGAAGCTGAAACAGCTCGTGGGAAAACAAGGGGAAAGTGCGGCCTGCTCTCAGAAGCCCCTTCCGCAGAGACTTAGCTCTTCTCAGTCACTGTTTCAGTTTAGTTAGTTCCAAAGATGCAGGCTCTCATTCCTCATGGATGCCTGGGAACTTAAGGATAATAAATAATGCAAATCCGCATCGACCTTCCACTGCAAATCAGTCAGTGAAAGAAAACACAAACAGCAGAGTTTCCTCCTCGGATTGTGCCTTCCTTGAAAATGCTGGTGTGTTCCGTGTCTCTGAATACAAAGTGGTACCTAACTATCCAGGCCCTGTGCCATGAGAGGGGGTGTAGGCATCCAGAGGGAGTGTAGGCACCGTATTCACCCCCAAGGACCATCTATGTATCAGTAAAGTAACAAACTTGTATAGATCAAATATAAGTATTTCATGAAACTTCTGCTTCCCAAGTCTATACTACTTTATCTTGAGGATACACCCATTAATACAATGGATATAATCATCATTTGAATACATATCGAACTTAAATGGTGAGCCAAAGAAAACCCAGAATACATTTTAGGTTTGTGTATTACTTCTGGAAGCAGAGTGAAAATTATAACTCTGCTTGGAGCACACCTAGAAATGACCTCTTACTGCGTGATTAATAATTTAACAAGGCTGGCAGCAATCCAGGAGTTGGGTTTGGTATAATGAAATTGGGCACGTAGCAAAGCACTATTTGGTTTTGAAATCCTGAAACTGCACATATTGAAATGTTATATTTAAGTATTTAATGGGAAGTGGATCTCCTGGTTACTTCCTTTTTCCAGGAAAAGGTAACCCTCTGGCTACTAGAAAAGGTCATCAACATTCAACCTGAGGTTGAATTCAACCACACAGCCCTCTGCAGGCCATGATATCCACCCACCCCTCCACCCATCCATCAAGGACACTGCTTTCAACGCTCCAAATGACTGCTCCTGAGCATAAGGTGGTGACTCAACACTATGGACGTTCTGACAACCAACTAAAAAAGAGATGCTATGCCATCTGCCTACTCAGAAAGCTGGAATCTAGAATAGCTCAAGGCAGCCAGATGTGCTCTGGTCCATATGGAGTTTGTGATTTATTAACTTGGACTATAGAATCCATCAGTACCTTTGCCTCTTGCTTCTCTCCAGTGCCCTGCTAACTCAGTCAACATGCAAAAGGATGACTGGCTGGAGTGAGACATTGGTCAGAATCTAGAGGCAACGTTGGAAGATGTCGCCTTGTATACTCGAGGCTCCTAGGACTCTCACATTGTAAATATACGGGCAACCTGTCCAAAGTCAGTTTAGGGAGGAGATAAAGAATATCTTGTGTGTATTGTCAGGGTCCCATGTTTGGAAATGATGGCAGGTTACACAATGGTGCCCAAATGAAGACACTTGAAAATGACAACAGGAAACCAAGCCCAGTGGACCCGAGGAGCCGGCGTGAGGGACAGTAAGACTTTGTCAGTGCGGCTTCATCACTGCGCAGAGGAAGGGACATGCACCTGAGAGCGACCTTGGCCGCTCTCAGCAGCACACCAGGGACCCTCTGCGTGTTGAAGCCGGAATGGCTCCTTGGGGCCTAACATAACCTACAGGAATCCATCCTCAGGACTGGCTCTGCTGTGCTAACACCCGTGGCACTGACGGCCGATCCTATGTCCAGATGGCAGCTTCCTTCCTGGTGATAGGTCTGCGTGGCCAGGGACCTTCCTTCCAGAGCCCCTAACTCCTATTTTCTGTGTACATCATTCCATGAAGAAGTAGGTAGTTCCCTATTCTAAGATATATGCACACGTGTGTGCGCGCACACACACACACACACACCCCTGTACTTTATGAAAATCGTTCACTGAGCAGACAGGAAAATCAATCATTCTGCGGCCACATCCTTCTACTAAGTGATCATTGCACGGCCTTGGATGGTCCCAGCTTCCAGCTTCCACGTGGACTCCATCATCTCCACTTACCAGCAAGGATTTGGAAGAATCCAGTGAGGTAAAACCGGCCCCCCTTGGTGAGGGTGAAGAGCTGGCAGAAGAACAGGAACAGCGATATGACACTGAAGACGACGGACAGGATCATGGTGGCCTGGACAGACTGCAGCCATGCTGGAGGGAAGAGAGACAGGGTTAGGACAGGCCAGCATGGCCAGGAGGGCTCTGTCACGAGGAGCTTGGGGCCTGGTGCCCCGTGGCCCTCGAGAGCCACAGTGCTCGGCTGCACAAGCCCTCTTTTATGAGCGAAATCGGACAATTCGCTTTTGTCCCCTTAAAAGTCAATTGTGGACATTTTAGGGAAGGGCTGTAAGAAAATATCTACAGTCCAACCACTAGCAGTTAAACTCAAATTAAAATATATTGAATTGCCTTCCAGTCTTTTTGCCAAAGGTATTACTGATGTTTATAGGTACATGTTAAAGAGGGCCTGGGCCCTGCCCACTGCCTTCTCTCCTCTCGGCCTCAGAGGTTTTTGAAGGGCCACTGGAACCCCTGTATTATAATAGCTTAAAACTACTGTTCAAAATATCAGCATCCCCCGAAGAATACAGACATCTTAGGGATGGGGGGATACGGAAATGGTAGGAAACGCGAAGAAAATGCTGACGGAGGAGAGCTACGGAAACCCCGCGCTCAGCAACTGCGCCTGCTCTTGGCCGGTCCTGATCCCACCAGCGGCCTCACCTACACCTCGGCCACCACGTTACGCTCCCCACCTTCATGGGCCCCCAGCCTCAGGTCAGGCCTCAGGCTCCCATCTGAAATTCAGGCAGGGAGGGAGTTCCCGCGCTCTCCATCTCCCGCAAAGTGATGTCACTTCAGCGAGAGGAGAGGACACGGCCTGGGCTCCGCACCGCAGAGGGAGACCCACGCGTCCGCTTAGGAGAGCTGAGCCGGCTGGCCCTGCCCGCCTGTCACCCGCGTCCTGTCCTCCAGGCGCCAGAGCCGTGCTGGGCGGGCGCCGCTCTGACCGAGGCGACACTGCGGCGCTGGGGCTCAGGGTGCTCGCGCAGCTTTCACAGCCACCAACGGGGTGTTCACAGTCGCAACTGGACGAAATAAGCCCGGCTGAAGTAACAGTCGTAGCTCATGGCAGAACCTTAAAGGTGCTGGTTAGATTAACTATTCTTGCAGCTTCATGTAAGATTTTCCAGACAGACGAGAAGCATTTTAGAGTTGGGAGAAACAAGGGAGATCAGCTAATTTAGCTCCTCTGTCCTGAAGGAGATCCTAGGGACGTCTGGATGAGCCACTGGCACCGCCGAACTGGGAGGCCCGCCCTCCAGGCTAGTATTCTTTTCACAGAACATATGCTTTTTTATTTTTTCAGTTTCTTTGTCAATTAAGGTAAGAGACTGATGTCTAATGGGTTCTGAGCCATCCTGACTTCATTTTTATATATCCCTACTTAAATGTGTTTGTCTGTATCCAGCCTAGTGGCTCTCCTGGAAGGACAGTCTGCAATAAAGCTAATGTCGCTGTAATACTATTATTTTTTAAGTAAACCAATGATCCAGCACTCTAGTAGGTGGAGCTAGAGACCTAAAGAAATCTGAGAGGCAGATCCACAGCTTTTAAACAGACAGCGACTCTGCTTTGCTGGGGGCTCCCCCAAAGGCACCGCAGAAGGAGGCAGCTGGTGCAGGCACATCCTGGGGCTTCGCCTCCAGTTCTGAGACCTCACCTTGGACTTCGCCTCCACCGCCATGACAACGGGAACTTCTCCCAGACGTCGTATTTAGAGAAAACCTAAAATCTCCTACATTAAACCTACAAGAACAGGGAAAGTCCCTTAGGCTAAATAATGTACGTAAATCCTTCTTGAAACTTTGTTTACCAATAGTTCAAACTTTAGTCCCAACCCCATTACAACTGAGCTATTATGGCAATAGTTGTTTCTCAAACCAGATCAGAATTAGGAGATCTAGGGAGTTTTTATCAGATGAGCTTTTGTTGAGCACCTACTGTTTTTGAGCCAAGCCCTTTGGTTGGTTCTGGGGCTGAAGCTGAAGAAAAAGGTTTTCAACCATAAGCACAATAAATGAAACACAAACATGAAGATAGTAAGTCCAGTTCTATCGTCAGTCACAATGTATGTGAAAGGAGTCAAGTCGCCTGTTGCACGATGTAGAATCTCACCTTGAACTGCCCATTCTTATGTATCGTCTTGTGTAAGAGCTACACGTAAATCAAACAAGTCAAAAGTCAGAGGTTTTAAAAGGAGGTGCCAGGCAAGTATCAGCAAAGAGAAAGCAGGAATAGTAATGACAGCATCAGACAAAACAGGATTTAAATCCAAAAGGATGAAAGTGGCCAAAGAGGGATGTTTCGTAGAGAGGAAAGGGCCCGGTTTGCCATGAAGAAATAACAGTCAGAAACCTTTATGCATATAGCATGGCCAGGAACATGCAAAGCAAAAAATAATTAAAATATGAGAAGAAGCTCATAAAGTACAATCACAGTGGACGACTTTAGCATACCTCTCTCAGACTAGATAAATCAAGATCAAATATACAGTAGGAGAGAGGTTTGTAGAACAGGATTAACCAAGTCTATTTGATAGGTATATAGAAAATTTGTGGCCATATAGCAAGGACTATAAATTATTTTCAAACACACATGGGACAGTTCTACAAACTATGTTTTAGGCAACAAAAAAATCTCAATAAATCTCAAATGAAATAGGCAATGTAGGCACAACTAAAAGCAAATAGGAAGTAGAAATTAAAAACAAATTAGCCAAAATAAATTTGGAAATTTAAAAGTAGTATTCCAGCCTGGCCGGGTGTGGCTCAGCAGTTGAGTGTCGACCTAGGATCCGGGCGATCGGGGTTCGATTCCCGGTCAGGGCCCGGGCCCAGGTTGCGGGCTCGATCCCTGGTCAGGGTCATGCAGGAGGCAGCCGATCAATGGCCCTCTCATCATTGATGTTTCTATCTCTCCCTCTCCTTTCCTCTCTCTGAAATCAATAAAGATATATTTAAAAAAAAAAAAAAATAGTAGTATTCCAGATAACCCCTTGGATAAAGAAGTCAAGATGAGAAGTAGAAATTTCTTCAGGAAGGAACAATATTTTGAGCACTACATACCACACCTGGGCGGTGGCCCACGCAGTACTTGGAAGAGTACGTATACCGATAGAGCACTTACTAGAAAGTATTGAAAAGGAATGAACTAAACTTCGAACTAAAGAAGTTAGAACAGAAAGAATTAAATCCCAAATTAGTTGACTTAATACTAATAAAAGCAGAGATTAACAAAATAGAGAAATATGACAAAAATATAGTTAATTAAAGAATCTAGATTGTTTTGGGGGGAATCAATACAGTAGATAAATTTTATTAAAGTACATAAAAGAAGTGCTAAAGAAACAGAAACATACTATGTTTCCAGATAGAAACACTTAAAGTTGTAAACATGCCACTTTCTCCACCATAATCTACAAATTCAGTGCTATCCTAATTAATATCTCAACTAAACCTTGACAAAGTGTTTCAAAAATTCATCTAAAAAACCTGAGTAATAATAGCCAAGAAAAATTTTGAACCAAACACAACAGCAAAGACCAAAAACAGGCAAATAAACAAAACCAAAGAGGCAGGCATCACCTGCCAGATGTCAAACATATGGATGTACAAAGCTCATATGATATTTATAGGATAAAGTTTTAGCAACTCAAACAATGTGGTATTAGTCATGAAAAAAACACAATGGGACAGAATGAAGACTTTAGAAATATGCATGTGAATTTAGTACACAATAGACATAGCATAGAAATCAGTAGGGAAAGAATTCAACAAACAGATAAGTGGTGTTGGTAATCTATGGTTCAAAAACTAAAAATAGATCTCTGGCTCACATCATTCACAAAACTCAATTCCTAAGTGCAGAATTAAAAAGCCATATAGACATGTGATCACAAAGGAGCAATATGAATAGCCTATAAACATACTTCAACCTCACTAGTAACCAGAAAAATGCAAGTAAAATCCATGAGGAATGTGTTATCAATCTTTATCCATCTAATTGGTAAAAACAAAAAGACTGATATTCACAGTGTGCATGTGTGATGGACACCTCTATGCACTATTCACAGGAACAATATCCTCACAATCCTCTGATGACCAGCAATTGGCAGAATATATTTAAATTTTAAATGCCTACAACAGGACTCCACAGCTTAATCACTATATTCTGGATAAATACTTAAACCTCAAAGAGAAATGAATAAGGATGTTCATTGGTAACAGCATTCCTGTGAGTGAAATGAATTAGATTATATCCCTACAATAATTAAAAAATTATGAGGTAGCCCAGCCGGGCGTGGCTCAGCCATTGAGTATCGAACTAGGATCCAGGAGATTGAGATTTAATTCCTGGTCAGGGCACATGCCCAGGTTGGCGCAGGAGGCAGCAGATCAATGACTCTCTCATCATTTATGCTTCTATCTCTCCCTTCCTCTCTCTGAAATCAATAAAGATATATCTTTAAAAAAAAAAAAATAATGAGTTAGAAAATGAACCACCTCTGAAAGATCTCCAAGACAATGCAAAGAGTAAGGTTTACATACAGCATGATGTCATTATGTAAATACACATGGAAAACCTACCTGTGTATATATCTGTACACATGCATGAATGTGTGTATGTGTGTTTGTGTTCATTAAAAAGGGGGGGCAATGACTCGCTACACTCATATCAATGGCTACCCCAGGAACTGGAGATGCAATGAAGGAGTTTGGTTCAGAAGGTCTTTCATTTAACTTACATCATTTTATTTATCTTGAATAAGGAGATTATTTTCATATAATATGTAAACAATTAAAACCAATATAAAAGATGACAAGATAAAGCGGAAATGGCAGTCAATACTAAGTTAGGATTCCCAAACCCAAAGTGCTGCTGGCGTCCTGGGCAGGCCTGGGTCCACAGGCAAAGAGTAACGGGGCTTCTCCCCTCCCCGCTGGCCATCCAAGCTGCTTATGGGCAGAGGGGAGACGGCAAGCCAGGGGCAAGCGGCTGCCAGGCCGCCCCAAGAGGCTGGGGAAAGAGTCAAAAGCCCAGCCTGACAGGTATTTGTCCTGAAGAGACGCCCATGATGCCCTGAGGAG